ATTTCCGGGGATGCCGTACACAGTGGGGGCCAGTGCCAAGGAACACTTTGCTTGTCTCCAGGGTGCCCTGGGTTTCTTGCGTTTCGATGGTTTTGCGATGGAATGCGTGGCGCTCCCACACCAAAACCAAAAGTCAATGGACGTCCTGGGGTCTCAGGGTTGGGTTTCTTGTGGAAGGTTTCTTGTGGACGGGCCCCTACCGTATTGAAAAAATCAGGACGTCGGATGTCTGGTTTCGGCAGGAGGGAGAGCATCGTGCCCCGCAGCGCCGCCTGGGGCCCCCACTTTGGGTGGCCACAAGTCTGGAGCTCAAAGCTCACACGCAGCGATGTGGCAGCATTCAGATCCCGCCCTGCTCCTCGGCCAAAAGTCGAAGAAGAAAAAACGCCATAAAAATAAAACTGTGGCGCTCCGCGCGGATTTCTTGGCTCTGCACTGGTCCCCCCCGGCGACGCCTCCGGCGCAGCCCCTGGCGCGCTCCAGGCGCCGGGGAGGGGGGTCCAGCGCGGCTCGAGAAAATCCGCACGGAGCGCCAAAAGTTAATGTTTATGGCCTTTTTCCTTTTTCTTAAAACCCTGGAGGAGGAGGAGGAGGAGGAGGAGGAGGAGGAGGAGGAGGAGGAGGAGGAGGAGGAGGAGGAGGAGAGAGGAGGAGGAGGAGGAGGAGGAGGAGGAGGAGGAGGAGGGAGGAGGGAGGAGGAGGAGGAGGAGGAGAGGAGGAGGAGGAGGAGGAGGAGGAGGAGGAGGAGGAGGAGGGGGGGGGGGAGGGGGAGGGGAGGAGGAGGAGGAAGAAGAAGAAGAAGAAGGGAGAGAGAGAGGAGGAGGAGGAGGAGGAGGAGGAGGAGGAGGAGGAGAGGAGGAGGAGGAGGAGGGGAGGAGGGGGAGGAGGAGGAGGAAGAAGAGGGGGAGGTGTGGGGGGGGCCGGCGTCCCTGGGGAGGGGGAGTTCCCGAGGCAGCCCGAGGGCCCGACGCCGGCCCGGGGAGAGACGGGGGGGGAGAGGCCCAAGCCACTCAAGCGGTCATGGAAACATCATGGCGGGGGGCGTTCCACACTCTTCGGCGTAAGGCGCGGGCGTGTTCCTCTTCGGGAGGAGTAATTCAAAAGTAGTCAAATGGTACCGGAGAGAGAGACCCCAATCAGGGCTATAGGACTAGGGGGCTGTAGGGCTATTGAGCTGTAGGGCTATAGAGCTATAGGGCTATACAGATAGAGTTGTAGGGCTATAGAGCTATTGGGCTATAAGGCTATAAGGCTATAGGGCTATAAGGCTATAGGGCTAACGGGCACCCCCGGGCACCCCCCTCGGGCACGCCCCGGCACCCAGGCACCCCCAGGCACCCCCCGGGCACCCGGGCCCCGGGCACCCCCGGGCACCGGGGTCGGGCGTGTTCCTCTTCAGGAGGAATATTCAAAAGTAGTCAAACAAATCGTCGGGGGACGATTGTTTAAGTATTATCTGTCTATTTTTGTGTATGTTTGACTATGTTTATTTTTCCTCGCAAATCGACCTGTAGGGGGACAGTCCCGACTTATTCATTGGGGCCGTGGAAACATCACGGCGGGAGGCGTTTCACATTCTTCGGCCTCTAGGGTCATGATGTTCCAACCTGCTTTAGCCTTGATCACCAGAAAGAAGTTCGAGCACCAACAAAGTATCGAAACTCGAGGGTTTTCACGCGTCGGGCCCTGGGAGACACTTTTTCGAAACTCTTTCGACACTTTTCGGTGTGCTCGACACTGGTTCTGGGATGTGGCCCTGAAGTACGTTGGGAGCAGCATAACTCTTGGATCCTTCTCCAGTCCCCTGGGCCGTCAAATCACGGCCCAGGGCCAGAAGCCAGCCTCGGGGCACGGGTCCACGCCGCCGGGGGCCTACGTCGTGAAAGACTCACGACGTCGGGGGTCTGGGGGGAGGAGGGAGCGGGGAGGGCCCAGACTTCGGGCGGGTTGTTTCTGGCAGCTCCAGCGCCTCGCCGCTGTCGAGCCGGCGTGCGCTGCTTTCGCTGGCGACGCGGGTCATAAGCCGGAAGCCGATTTTGCTGGCGCTGGTTTCGCCCGTTCCAGTTTCGCCAGAGGTTGGCTTCGCCGTGGTCGGGAGGGAATGAGGGAGGGGGGGGAGGGAGGGGGGGAAGGGGGGAGGGAGGGACGGGGGAGGGAGCCGCTGGGGCTGGTTTCGTTGGTGGCTGGTCTCGCAAGGGCTGGCTTTCGCCAGCGGAGAAGTGCGCCACGGCGAGGGGGGCCCGGGATAACGCGCCAGTCGGGCGGGGTCCAGGGCCCCAGCCAGCGGGTCGGCGAGACCAGTCGGGCGAAGCCAGCGGGTGGGTCGGCGAGACCAGCCTAAAGTCGGGCATGTCCCTCTAGAGGGCGAAAATTCAAAAATAGTCAGAATAGTCAGGGAACGATTCTTGACTATGTTTGGTAATTTTCTTGCATGTTCTGAATATTTGTAATTCTTAGTCCAAACTCCGTCTGTAGGGGGACATGCCCGACCTAAAACCAGCCGGCGAAGCCAGTTTCGGCGAAACCAGTCGCGGGCGAAACCAAGCGGGCGAAGCCAGCCATGCGAAACCAGCCGCGGGCGATCGGGCGGTGGGGCCAGAAGCCTGAGAAGTATTTGTCGGCCCCGCTTGTTTTCGAAAATGTATCACATCCACCCCTGGAAGTTATTCCCCCGGCCGCTGAATTTCATAATGTGGTTCTCGCTTCAGCGCGGCGCGCAGTCGGTTCCAAGGTTCACAGCAGCTTCATAGAAGGAGGGCGGTTTTTTTTAGGACGTGGCTATCGCCATGACGTCGCGCACATTACGTGGCTACCGCCATAGCTTCGCGCACATTCGTGTTCAAAGCTTGCAAGAGCTTCACGGATGGAGGGCGGGCCCTTTTTCAGAACGTGGCTATCGCCATAGTGTCGCGCGCAATCGTGTTCAAAGTTTGTAAGAGTTTCACGGGCGGATGTCATTTTTTCCAGACCGTTAGTTTTGCCATTGTCGTGCGCATTTGTTTTAAACATTGACAGCAGCTTCATGGATGGAGGCCAGGTCTTGAGCATAATGTTGTTCTCGCCGTAGCGCCGCGCGCATTCGTTCTCAATGTTTGAGAAAGTTGCACGAGTGGAGGACGGCTCCTTTTTCAAAATGTGTCTCTCGCCCACGCGCCGCGCGCTTTTGTTTCATACGGCTGAAAGAGTTTCACGCGTGGAGGGCGGGTCCTTTTCATACTGTTTCTTCGGCCTTAGCGCCCCGCGCATTCGCCGTCAGCGGTTGCAAGATGCTTTTTTGATGGACGGCGGAACCATTTTCATATGTGGCTCTCGCTTTAGCGCCGCGCACAGTCGTCTTCAATTTTGGCAAAGCTTCACGGATGGATGGCGAGTCTTTTGCAAATGTTGTTATCGCTTGTGCCTCGCATATTCGTTTCAACATGTTGAGAGTGTTTCACGGATGGATGGTTTGTTTGTTAATGTGGCTCTCGCCTAAGCACTGCGGACATTCGTCTCAAAAGTCTGATAGCGCTTCGCGGATGGAGGGCGTGACCTTTTTCCAGAATGTGGTTATCGTTTCAGCGCCGCGCACATTGGTGGTAAAAATGTACAAGCGATCCATGGGTTATCGGCGGGTCCTTTCCAGAATGTTGCTCTCGCTTTTGCACCGCGCCCGTTCGTTTCCAAAGTTGGCTAAAGCTTCGCGGATGGAGGGCGGATCTTTTCTCGACATGTGGTTCTCGCCCTAGCGCCGCGCGCATTCGCACGACACGTTTGCCGGAGCTTCACGGATGGAGGGCGGGCCTGTTTCACCCGCATTCGTTTGCAAAGTTTGCAAGGATATCGCAGATGGAGGGCGGCCCCTTCTCAACATGTGTTTCTCGGTTTCGCGCCGCGCGCGTTCGCTCCAAAGTCCTAAAAAAGAGCTTCGCGGGTGGAAGACGGGCCCTTTGGAAACTGCTGCCCTCGCCGCAGCGCCGCTCACGTTCGTAGCACAAAACCTGAGAAGCGCTTTTACGGATGGAGCGCGGGGTCCTTTGTCTCAGAATGTGGATCTCGCCTCAGCACCGCGCACATTATTTCGCCCGGATCGCTTGCGAGAACTTCGCCGATGGAGGGCGGGTCTTTTTTTCCAAGTGCGGCTCTCGGCTCAGCGCCGCACGCAGTCGTCTTCACCTTGGCACCGCTCGGACGTGTGCATTTTTCCTTCGGCGAGGACAATCGAGGAGCATCCTTGATCATTTGGAGAAAAAACCACGCACGGAACCGAAAAAAACACAGGGAATGGACGTCCGAGCGATGGCGAGTCACAATTTGAAGTGGCTTTCCAGGCGGGCCCTTGTCAGAATGCGGTTCTCGCCCCAGCGCCCAGCGCCAAGGCATCGCCGAACGACGGGTCGCGCTACAAAGCGCCTTCCGACGCTAGTCGCACCAGCCGGGGCGCCGCCCCAACAGACCGACACCCCACCAGCCGCAGCAACCAGGGCAGGCTACCCCAGACCCCCTCGAGTTATGAAAAAATCACGACGGGAGGTTTTTCTTTTTTGGGGCCTCTGGTGGCCCTTTTCGGCCCTCGGGACCGTCAAAAAACGACTCGGGACGAAAAACTGGTCCCAGGGAATGGGTCCAGACCACTGGGGGTCGACGTCATGAAAAAAACATGACGTCGGGGGTCTGGGTACCACGGGCCAGCGGACGACAGGAACCCGAGGCCCGTGGGAGCCAGACCCAGAATGACCCCACCGGCCCACCAGTGGGCCCCCTTCTGAGCCTCAGCCCAAGGCATCACCGCGCGCACACGACGGGCCAGAGACATCGACCAGCAGCGGCGTGCCTCCGATCAAAGTGCCCCACGAGCTGCCACCCATCAAATCTAACGCACCGGCCATAACGCACATGGAGACAGTACACGAGCAGGCACCACGCCCACTGAGCAACCACACATCGGAATGATACCCTGACCGTCAGAAAGAGAGCACCGACATGATGTCCTTGCGCGCTGGACCGACACCATCAGCAGCATGCGCTACGAGCGGATCGCTCGCTTATTCAAGGTCCCCATCCACAGGATGATCTCAGAGTCCATCTCTGGCGTCAGCGACCCCGAGATTACCTGCGGCGTGCACCAGGGCCCCAACAAGTCAAACGGGCGCGAATGTGACCTCCTGATGACCTGCGTCGAGGCATCCCTCAACTACTACCTTGACCTTCCACGATGACCCACAGCCAGACAGTCCTCGCTCACTTCTTCAACCACCAGCTGGCCACGATGGTCGCTTGCCCGATTTCCGACGACTGCGACGATCCACCGGCGTCAGCTGCAGTCGCCAGCGTCGCGGCTTCCCCATGCACATCAAGCTGGGCATGCGCTACAACCCCTCCGAGCCAGCTCCGTTCGCGATCGCGGTCTCCCAGAGGAGCGTCGCCAACAGACCATCGCCAAGATTAATGAGTTGACCGAGGCCCAACGAGGCGCCCCACCAGGCCAGGCCGCCGGGCAGCCAGCGTCCCACAGCGAGGGCGACAATCATTGACCACCCATCTGGGGAGCCGCCGCGGGCAACCGCGACATGCACGAACATCCGAGCACAATGGCCCACAGCGACACCCCCACTGAGCCCGCGCGCCCAGGCCCGCCGCTCGCGGCGCCCGCGCGGCACAAGAGCTCGAGGCTCTGCACATCGCCAACGCCATCAGCAGGCATGACCGCCTCGCCGCAGAACTGGGCCAGTGCTTGCCGCAACGCTTGATGGCGGAAACGCACCCGCGGCCGGCAACCGCTTCCAACGCCCCGCAGCAGGTGCTGGCACCGCCCCGCAGGACGATTGCCGACGCCAGCAACACGACGCCCGCCGACGACGTCGACGACGCGAGCGGCCCTCTGGCGACGGCACAAGACGCGGGCCACCTCGGGCGAGAAGGGCTGGTTGACGCCGCGATCCAACTTAAATTTGCAGACGAGGCCAACGCCATGGACGTACCAACCACGCTCGGAGCAGAGCCG